GCCCCATGGCTCTGGACGGGCCATGAGTCAGAAACGGCCACGTACTGGCCTTCCTTCTGCTGTAGCCTGCGATGGAACACGCTCTCAAGGTTTCTCCTCTTCCACCATGGGTGAAATATGGTGTCTGCATAGATATACGTTCAAGACTTGTACGTAGGACTGTCTGCTGGTCTCTCTGCCAGCCCGCGCCCAGCAGGAGTCACATCCTGGTCCGGCCAGGCTGCCTGATGGCTGCTGGAAGGGCTGCTGGACACACACAGCGGGGCAGCGCCCAGAAGCAGGGTGAGCCTGACATGGACTTTCTCGTAGAGTCAAACGAAGTTGTTTGTATCAGGACTGCCACTTTCCGACAACTGTGCTTCGCAGAGGAGCAAGAGCTGCCTCCTAAGTTCCTGCAAAGAGACCACATTCTTCCAAGTGAAGAATCCCGAGAGCTGGATTTTCACCTACAGACATCTTCTGAACCAGGAGCTCTGGGATTTCCTTTTAGCCCTTTTAAGAGCACAGTTTCAAGTTCATTTCTACTGCCACAGGCAATTTTCCCATTCCTACTTTTCTGACATGAATTTCTAATCCTTGTTCCAAGTTTTGTTGTTAGTTTACCATTTTTTTTATCGCTTATTTCTGTACTCTGTTAAGAGAAATAGAAAACTTTCTCATAATGCCACATATTGATTTTATTATGCAGAGATTAGAAAGTAGTAAATATATAGTGTGAAAAAGGAAGTTGGATACACACGCGCTGTAAAACAGGTGGTAGGTAAAGATCAGTTACTATAGACCACTGGAAAGACCACATGGTTGGAAGGGCCATTTAAGGTCTACAGCATTTTAAACGGTGATTAAAATGTTTGAGAAACTTTGCCAAACAAGACAAACTACCCTTCTGTAATCTGCACAGGAATGTTATTTTATGTATGCTTCACATGCGCACGCACACACGCACACACGCTCACATATATCTAGGTCACAATTTCTTTAGGAACAAACAGAGTAAGAGAAAGTCATTGATTAGTCCAGTAAATTATTTAGCTGCATTTTCTGAAGAGGCTTTGCCATTTTCCGCTCTTACTGAACCCTAAGACAACAATTTACTCAGCCTTGACCTATCCCATACCCCTGTGCCGTGTTAAATTGCCGACTTGCTGAGGTTGAATTAGACAAAACATCTCTAGCTTCAGAAATACAAATTAAAAAAAAAAATCAAAAACAAAGCCTAAAGAGCTCCTGGACCTTTTTTATGTGCCAGATCACCATAGCAGGGAATATGGACTGAAACTCTACAGCAAATTTAACCTGACCTCCCAGTTGTTCCAGTGTTCAGAGGTTCCCTTTGGGGGTAGATTTGTTCTTTGGAAAGCAGGTTGGGTTTCAGGAGGAGACTCCTGAGACTGTCTGTACCCATTTCTGCTCAAGGACTATTGAACCAACATGACCAATTGTACTAAGAGCAACAAAAAAAGCAACAAACCCCACCTCCACCGTGTGTCCCGGAGTCCTCTTCAGTGGCAACTCTACGGCTCACCTGTGGTATTTCGGTGGTTGTCTTGAATTGCCCCCACCCTTAGGAGCCAAAGTGGTGAATCGGGATGTCATTGTACTGAGCTATATATGGAGCAAAAAATAAAAGCCTTAATTTGCAAACCTGCAGGGGCAAAATGCATGCTTTGGTGACTGGCTGCGATGACAGGGCACGTTCTGACACCTGGGAAACTTCTGCTTGATGGGTGAAGGGGACTGCACTGAGCACATTCACGTTTCCTTACAGAACTGATAAAACTTATGCTATACTGCTGCTTCATGCAGGACCATCCCACCTTGCCTAACCTGCTGGCCTCTATACCTCACAAGAGCTAGGTGAATATAGAATCATGGAATCGTCTAGGTTGGAAGTCCACATTGAGTCCAACCATCAACCTAACACTGCCAAACCCACCACTAACCCATGTACCTCAGCACCATGTCTATGCATCTTTTAAATCCCTCCAGGGATGGTGACTCCACCACTGCCCTGGGCAGCCTGTTCCAGTGCTTGATAACCCTTTTGGTGAAGAAATTTTTCCTAATATCCATCCTAAACCTCCCCTGGCACAACTTGAGGCCGTTTCCTCTTGTCCTATCGCTTGTTACATATCTGCATGTATTTGCTGTAGGGGTGTGCGTTGTGTGCAGCGCACACCAGTTCTCCAAACCCCTCCGGTCATTACCTTCCTGGTCCCATTCCATCCCCCCCAACTCAGCGGCGCGGGGGTGCCCGTCCCAGCGGGATGCACCAACATGGCACGTTCCTCCCCGCTCTAAGGAGACGATGGACAAATGCAGACTGGAGTGCTGCCCTTCTGCCTGGCTCTGGGTGGCACTTTCCCTTTCGAGGCGGTGGGGGGGTTTCCCCCCAGCCCCGCCGCCTGTCCCCGCCGCGCCCGCCAGGTGGCGCCATGACAAAGAGTTTGCGGGGGGCGGCGGTGGGCTCTGCCCCGCACCCCACAGCCCCAACGCCGCTCCGCTCCCCGCACACGGCCGCGGGGGAATGGGGGGAGAAGGAGGGGAGGGAAGGGGGTGCGGGCCGCTGGCTGCCCGCGGGGCTGGGGAAAA